AGATAGGCACATTATAAATTAATAGACAGATGCAGTGAAATTCAGGAGTTCTGTGGTGCACCTTAAGCCATGCTCAAAATGCATCAGGCAGCATATTTCATGAGAGGCAGTAGAGTGAATCCACTGAAATTGCATCACTTCAGACTAAATACAACTTCATTCAGAATCTGCCATGCCCCTTCAATGAGATAAAGCAAATTAAGATATCAAAATCTGTAAGTTAATGTTAGGTTACATTTGTGTGTTAAATTTAAAAATTAAGTAAATTCATAAATTGCTCTGCCTGTCCATCCTGAACTCAGGCTGTTTTGACTTATACTCTAGGTTCTGCAAAAAATTTAGAACTGTGTTTGATCTTCTATACCAGGGGTTCTCAAACTGTGGGTTGGGACCCCAAAGTGGGTCATGACCGTGTTTTAATGGGGTCACCAGTACTGGCATTAGACTTGCTGGGGCCCAGGGCCAAAGGTGAAGCCCAAGGGCTTTGTCCTGAGTGATAGGACTCAGGCTTCGGCTTCAGCCCTGGGTGGCAGGGTTCGGTTTACAGTCCCCCTCCCCCTGAGGCTGAAGCCCTTGGACTTCAGCTTTGGCCCCCTTGCCCGGGTCAGAGGCGGGCTCAGGCTTCGGTCCCCCCTTCTGGGGTTGTGTAGTAATTTTTTTTGTCAAAAGGGGGTCGCGGCACAATGAAGTTTGAGAACCGCTGTTCTATACTACCCATGCCACAAAACCTAGCCAAAAGGGTAGATGAAAGAGCAGTGTCAAAATATCTAAGAGTTACCAGCTGCTCTGTTACCAGTTAAATTATAAATCTAAGCCTCTTTTTACCTATTATTGGCATGTCTGAGACAAAAAGAAGACATAGAAGAAAGAGTCTGCCTCTGCTTTGTGTCTGTGCATCCTAATATTCCCTCATCTCACCTGTTATTCTGGTTAAATGCACTTTCTTTTGCAAATAGGTGGCTAGGCACTAAGCACACACACAACAGGCTGCTTTCTCTCTCCCCAAGGCAGGGGCAGCAGTGATGCAGCAAGGGCATCCTGTGACAGCTGGCCATGCTGGGCCCATCTTTACTGCCATATCACCACTTTAAGTGATGCCCAAAGAGTGGGTAAAAGTCACAGGTGACTCTTTTTAAGCCTTCTCTTCTGCAGAGCAGCCCCTCCCCTCCCAGGTTTACTGATCCAATAGCTGAACGTGTCTCAAGCAGCCATCAGCCTCTTCACCGCTTTTTTGTCTCCTGAGGTAGCTGAATTCAGCAGACCTGCCCATCCATATGAAGCACATGCTGGTGTGACCTTCCTTAACCACAGCCATCCAAGCAGCGCAGTTGGAGCCCTTTTTCCCCAGTAACCTCTCTGGGTAAGAGTATGGGGTAAAAGAATGTTCCAGAAACCGAATTAAAATTAGAAGAAGTTCAAGGAATTATACCAACCAATTTAAATTTCTGCTTAGTACTTAGTACTTTTTTAGCTTACACATTGTAGTCCCCACTCTCCCAACAATATTGCCATCAGCTGCGTATGACTCCAGTCTCTACATCCTAGTGAGCCTGATGAAAGATTTTCCCAGACTGTAAAGTCTTAAGGGTAGTGTTTGGACTTTAAAGGAGGAGGATTAGTATTAGAGAAGTACCAAACATAGAGGTATACTCATATTCATCATAGTATCATGCTGCATCCTATGCAATAAAAAACAAAGTTCTCTGAGAGGCAGTGTTTATTCATTTGCTGATAGGGCTATGAAGGCTCTATACAGACACTGAGATTAGCCATGTGATTGTTCTCTGGATATTCAAAACAAGTCTAAAAAATGTGCACATATATGCCCATGGACAGACAACAAATACTGCTAAAACACTGATCTCCAACCTCATTATCTTTTACCTGGACTATCATAACCTTCTCTATACTTGTCTCCTTGCCTTTTGCCGCTCTCTGCTCTAATCCACTCAACATACTCCATTTAGCATCTTCCTTGTTTGTCTGGTGTTCCATTGAACCCCCTGCTTGAGTCTCTCCACTGATACGTGAACTTCACGCAAGGGATAAGTGTATCTCTACAGCTCTACTAATTTATCCAATTAAAAGTAGGAGGGGAGTTAGTGGTTGTCAAAATTTTCATTTAAAATATTGTCAAAATGATAGATTTCCATTTTTCTTCTTATCAGCTCCAATTCCAACCAGCCCCTACCTCCATATACACAAAATCCAGGCATTTCCACTTGCCCTCCAAAATCCTTTGTCTCTTCCTACTTGTGACTCTCATCCATTCTCACAATTCTCCCTCTGGCCCTTTGATAATTAAAAGAACAATCACTGTGATTTTCCTTTTAGCTTGCTATGCTGAGGCAAATTAGCGCAGTTTGTAATATAACTATCTAGAAACCTGTTGCATTTGGTAAATCAATACAGCATTGTTACTTTTCTGGTTATATTACCTATGTTGGTTTAATATCATTATTCTGACAGACCCATTACCATAGCCAGGAAAATCCATACTCAATAGTTATTGATCCCGCTCTGAGCCAGTTCATGATTAGAGCCCTGCACAGATACAATATTTGTAGCCACATCCAATCCGCAAAAATAGTGCGCAGATATAGAGCGGATACCCTTGGATTTGCAGGGCTCTATTCATGATGTCCGTATAGGTCTGCATATCAAAACATTTTGTAAAAGGTTATTGTACATGGACAGAAGCCAAATAATGAGTGTGTTATAATTATTTTTATTATACATGCACAGTACCAAACCACAACAGTAACTAATGACCTGCACAATTCCATGAGAAACAGAAAAGCATTTAGTTCTACTGTAAAAACATCAGAGAAGTATAATCATGTCTCTGACTCTTTGCTTAAATGTGGCAAAACTGATCTTTTTTAAGACCACATCTCACATGTTAGCCTGGTGTGAATTATACCGTTGAATTATAAACACCTTAAAATAAAGTAGAAGTTTATAACGGAAGCACTAGTGGTTCTTAATGCTTTAGCTACCTGTGTGCATGGCAAGTATATATAGTTCAAACTGTGCTACCATCCATTATGTATCATTTCAAAGACTTACAGGCAGAATAATAACCAAACATACTGATTACCATGGGCAAATTGTGGGGTTGCTATGAGCTCTGAGGAAGGGGTAGTGCGTAGTTCTGCTGCCCAAGGAACAGACTGGTAATTAAAGTGTGACTCTCAGACTCAAAACTTGGTCCCTGGTTCCGCATTTTGCTTCATGGGGGAAGTAATTTGCATCAGCATTTCACCTGGCAGGTTTCACTTCCCACTTTTCATCAGTTCAGCTAGGTGGCCTGGAGCAACTGTTGTGGAGGTGAATGAAGTCAAGGTTCTGCACACTCCCCACCACTTTGCACAGGAGGTGGAATAGTGACCCTACGGACACTGCTCTCCCCCACCATTCTGTAATCCACAATATGGGTAGCACACTCAGGAGAGTAAGGGGACACTTTACACCTCCTTCCTCCACTTGACACAGGCATAGGGTGACCCACAGTCTCACCCTGTGTGGACATTAGATCTGTTAATCTTTTTTTTTAATTAGCTAAAGGGCAAAGAAAGACCAAATCTGATCTACCATGCTACGATGAGAGTAAAAATGCCTTCAAGTTCTCCTTCAAGGAAGAGAAACAGGATAAGAGGGAGCAGTTATATTCTACCTCTCGGTGACCAGGGGAGTAAATCCCTTATTTTTTAAGCATATCAGTGATGTAGAAATTCTCAGAGTACGGCCCTAAAGGTGTATATTTCAGGGATTACCTGCCAAATAATTTTCTGGAAGATGACATTTCCCTTCATACTAAGAACCTATTCAGTACACATTAATGTAGCTAAAAAATTCCTTTTGCGAGACTGAAGGATAGACAGTGTTTATCTCCTTTTCTATAAAGGAGAAAATGTTATTGCACTGCTCTCTGGAAACTCATGATGGGCTAAAGTGAATATATTATCATGATCTAACTGTGGCATACAAGACTATAGGAGAGTGTTCAAAATCATGCATTCAGAATCAACCCTTCTGCTTTCAGAGTAATTTGTTCATGAGATGTTAGCAATGACACTCACTGTTGAAGTTAAGCTGCTAAAACCAAGGACTATGCCTCAAAATATAGGGCCAAATTCTGATACCCTTACTAACAGGGAATAGTACAGTACATCACCCTTTGAGTAGTCTCATTGAGTCAAGGGGACCACTCGTGGTGTAAGGTGAAACCCAACATGAGTAAGCATAACATAATCTGATTTATAGGGATTAATAATATACTGGAGACAACTATCATATTTAGTTGTAATGTGGAAACTGACCTTTAAACCTAAAGATGACAACACCTATATGAAATATGACCAGCGTAGCTGTGCATCAGTGCTGACTTTAAAGGTTTTATACAGAAAAGGTCATTTTTGAATACTGCAATTACACTAATTGACTTCTGTATATGTTTTAATTAGAATTTTAAGGATTTGATTACCCATCAGTAAGAAAAAAGATTTAATTATTCATGTGTGTTAGACTATTGTATACAATACATCTTATTATTGTAATTTTAAAAGTAAATTTAAAATGTTAAAATTAAATTAATTATCTCTTATTCCACATCACTGCTATCAACAGCAGGTAACTAACAATGCTGGCTGCTATTAGTAATAACAATATTATCTCTTAATATTCTATTAATGGAAAATGTATTGAATAAAATCCCTGCTGTGCCATTCTAAATTCTTACTGGGTTCAAGAGAAATAATCCAATTTTAACTGAGATTCAATTACTCTTTCTTTTCATTAAATTAAACATTTAAGCTACATGAATGTGAAAAGTGTGATGCTGGACTGGAACAGGACTGCCCAGAACTTTTAAGAAGTTTGTTAAGATACAAATATTTACAAGCATTTCTGAGTAACTATAGATTTTTTTCTGTACTATTATTCCTTCACAATGAGGCACTGTGTGTAATTTTAATCAATGTACATGTTTGCCTACTCACTCTGTTTTTGGAACTTCTTTTCTAAGCCAGTAGAAGTCAGACTGGGCCAGGTATTTGCGGGTCTGCAGTACGTTGCCAAAATAGTCATTTTCTGAAAACTTCATCTGTGTAAATAAATCATACCCGTTAAACATGACCAACAGACACAAAGATGACATGAAAAGAATCAGAACTTCGACAGTAACGAGATAATAATAATAATGACTAAAAATGATTTGGTTAAGTTAATGACATTATTCATATTACAACAGTTAGGATAAAATCCACCGCATTGCAGAAGGCTTCCCCAGGACCTCCACCCTGTGGAATTTCTAGGATCGCCCTACATAAATGAAGGGTCATGAGCAGAGTAGGTATACAGGAGGATCTCAACACTTTGTCCATCACCTTGGGTGGCGGGATGGTCATATGGTAAAGACAATGAAGTAGGTCTCACGATGTCTGGGTTCAAGTCCCTGTTCTAACACCAAATATTCTGGGTAAAATTATTTCATTAATAGTTTTGGTTCAAAATATTTTCTGTGCCATCAGCTAACTGGTTTTGGATCCCTTATTTATATAGGTGTCAGTAAGAAATCTTTTTCTAAATAAACCCAATACTCATACCATTTTTAAAACGAGGGGGTTTTAAACATTTTTATTATTTTCTTCTATCAGTTATTGCCATAATCAAATGTTATACCCAGATATCTACTATACCAGGAGAGGCTTAAGTGTTTTTCAGTATCTAGCCATACAAATTTGGGTATAAGATAATATTAAAAATTACAGGGACAAAGGTGAATTACATTTAATCCAGGTCTAGGGCACACACAAAGAGTTAATGAGCCTGACAACTGATGAGTACAAGCTAAGCCTGAGCATGCATTTAAACATGAGAAGTTTATGAGCAAAAATTGATCTTCCCTGGGAGTTTTAATAATTGACATCAGCTATTTATTTTTTTCAAATGAAACCCTAAGGACTAATAAATGTTTTATCACAACAGTAGAGACAGGTATATCCATGATTGTTTACATTGGACAGCTCAGAGGACTGATAATTGGATACAACCACCTGTGGGTCGCTAGGTCAAATCCAGGCTGTGCTGTCAGTGACTGTAGGTCATTATGATCTGATTGCTATTTAGTGTCTTATGTGAAATCAATCAGTTGCTCAGAACACTTTCTAGAGCACAAATATCTACTTCCTATAAATCACCATAATAGGTCAATCAGTAAGGGGTCCTCTATATTAGTGCTTAAAATGAAAAACACCCATATTTTCTGTTTTATGCGAGTCATTTAATTCTGAATTAGAGAGGTGATAAGTCAGCACTAGAATCAAACTAGAGCTGTGTGAAATTAAATGTGTCAGAAGATTTCTAGGGAAATATTTGCCATATTGGTTAGTGCAATTTGCACTTCATAAAATTTCACTTTGAGAAAAAATGTTGATGATATGCAATGTACATGTTGAAAACATGTATTCCTACAGGTGGTATTATGTAAAGCCATTTTCACATGAAAACATTGCTTTAAAAAGTATGCCACAAAATGTTCAAAGAGAAGTGCTGTTTGTGTAATTTTGCATTTCATTGCAAATATTTTGCACAACTCCCCCTCAAAGGAATCTAGCAGTGCTGCTCTACCGTCACTCATGTTAGCAGCATTTACAAATATGAGGGGTCACATTGCGAGAATCTATTACCAAATGTCTCAAATATGATTAGACATGCAAGAAAAAAGGCTGTTAATATTACATAAAACCTGCTCATATTCCAATCATCCTTTCAAAAAATTCTCAAGCTTGGGACAAAGTTACACTTCAGTACCAATCTACTGTGTTGCATTTTCAGGGCCCAGACTTACAAACATACTGCTTATGTCAGCGAGTGAGTCCATCACCTGAATGGTTTCTCCTCTATCCCATTAACACAGATGATAAAGGTTCACAATATCTCCTCTCTACACGGTTTCCCTCGGCAGAGACCAGACTTGCTGAGTTTTTCCTTCTTAGAGTTCTGAGTGAACTATGCCATATTTAACAATGCCTTGTTTGGTTGGTTTTTGTCTGTGTTCTATGGCCAGTTATACTGGAGCAATTTTTTGCAACGGTACCATTGCAAAAGAGAGTCTGTGAATGTCAGGTTTCAGAGTAGCAGCCGGGTTAGTCTGTATTCACAAAAAGAAAAGGAGGACTTGTGGCACCTTAGAGACTATGCTCAAATAAATTTGTTTTATGAATGTTAGATCATTTTAAGCCTCAGAATGTTTATCTTTTTCATGCCAGTATGTCGAGTAGCTTGGTTTGTCCATGCAAACAACTTGGTGATAAAGTAAATATTTCTCCCTTGCCTGAGAAGCAATATCTTCTGTTATATGATCTCAATGTAGATGTAAGTCCTGTTTGTGGCTATTCCAGGTTTTCCTATAGCTGGAAACAACATGTTCTCCAGGAAGGATGGTCTTGTAGTTAAAGCCTTAGACTGAGACTTAGAAGCTGTGGGTTTAATTTGTGGCTCTACTACAGCTTTCCTGTGTGACCTTGGCCAAGTCACTTCACTCATACTGTGGAACAGTTCCTCATCTGTAAAATGGGGATAAAAATACTTCCTTTCTCCCACCCTTTGTCAGTCTTGTCTACTGGCGTCTGGTCTATACTGGGGGGTGGGGATGGGGGAATCGATCTAAGTTATACAACTTCAGCTACGTGAATAATGCAGCTGAAGTCGACATACCTAGATCTGCTCACCGCAGTGTCTTCACCGCAGTGAGTTGACTGCTGCCGCTCCCCTGTCAACTCTGCCTGTGCCTCTTATTCTGGTGGACTACCGGAGTCGACAGGAGAGCACTTGGTGGTCAATTTATCATGTCTAGAATAGACGCTATAAATCAACCCCTGCTGGATCGATAGCTGCCCGTCGATCCAGCAGGTAATGTAGACAAGCCCTGAGATTTAGAAGTCTTTGGAGTAGGAATTATCTTTTACTATGTGTTTGAACAATGCCTAGCACAATGGGTCTGTAATGCTGTATCTTATCTGGAGCGTCTAGGCACAGTTATCAATATTCATAGTATTAGGGAAAACAGTCCAAGCTTGTAATAATAATTTGTAACATTTGGGTAGAAAACGTATTACTGTAGTTTGTTGCAGAAGTTTATTTTGAGGGGAATGTTCGGGGGTTATTTTGTTTTATTATTAAATACAAAATTTGTATTGGCATATTTTTATCTTGAAAAGAATACTCTGGGTGTATTAAAACTGCCCAGACATATTTTACAGTTAATAGGCCTGGTCCGTCCTCTCACAGACAGAGGTGGAAACAAGGAGTATCTCTGTTGAAAATCTGTAAAGCTACCCTGGCATAAATCTGGTGCAAGTTAGAGGAGAATCAAACCCAATATTCATGGTGTCATAAATTCAGATCTTGCAGTCCTCACGATGGCATGACTCCTATTTAAATCAATGTGGATTTTTCTTGTATGAAGACTGCTGCACTGGACACATATAAATTAGATTTGGAAAAGATCTATTAGATTACTTAGTCCACCCCCCTGCCACGGCAGGATTGTTTCCAAAGATGTATTTTCTATTGCTTTATCTTGTTTGCTTTTAAATCTCTTACCAAGAGGTTTAATAGCATCAGCTTGATACAATGTAAATACGTTAATGAAAGAAGTGCCTTATTTTCATTTTTCAGCTATTTTAACTCCTCACAGGCAGGACAGTCCCCTCAGTGATGACAAAGCCAGTATTTTACACGGGAACTTTATTTCAATGCAATGTTTGGCACTTAACTGCTACAAGCTCTAGCAACTATCAATGTATTCTAATGATAATTCTGGAAAAATGATTGATGATGGCTATGGTTGGCCACACCCAACATTAAATCACCCCCTTGTGTCCGTGCATAATGTAGCTAGTCTTCTGTTTCTACTGTATCAGGTTTCCCTCCCACAGGAACCGACTGTGCTCCCTGGGGGGTTCTCCCTGTAGGAGAATCCCGCCTCCTCTACAGTCTCTCTCTTTTCCAGGGCTAAATTCTTCCTCAGCCTGCCTAACCTAAGCCCTTCCTGCGTGGGGGAGGGAAACTTCCCTATCTCCTCTCTTCTGGGTCTTTGCTCTTTAACTGAGCTCTCTCAGCTCCTTGTAAGGGCAAGCTCTACCTCCTCTGGGCAGAAAGTAGTTAGTTAATCACCCTCTCTCCCTGGAGCATGACTCGTTAGGGTTCTTTCTCTTGCCTTGCAGATGATGGGGATTAAGCAGCATCACAATAATCAATCTGTTGTATTGGCCAAGTTATTCATAATACACAATGTTATTGTAAAACAAATATTCCAATGGGCATGTTGTAAAAAGAGTCTCCCTAGCTTGGTTGAGGCCCCCTGCGACACCCGGTTACCATCACAGGCTCAGCTCAATCCAGCCTCCAACCTTGTAGTCCTTGCAGTGGGCCTCACCACTGTGGGCCTGCTTACTTTGTTTAGGGCAATGGGAAAGGCAGAAGTTCAGACTCAGAGAACAAGCCCCACCTGGGGTCAGCAAAAAGGTCAGTGGTACTACTTTACTTCAGGAGTGCCTGGGTAGCAGCTTTACTGGAGTCATTACGGCCAGGCAGGCAGCCAAGTCAGTCTCTCCCTACTGGGCTTGCCACTGGGGTTCACGGGAGCCTTGCAGAGCTGGGAGATTCCTCCTACTGCTTTAGCAGCCATTCCCTTCTCATGGCTTCCCCCGTGCTGACTGCAGCTTCCTCTTTTTATAGCCCTCCTCCCCTACCATGCATGAATGTCAGGGCCAAAGAAGCAGGGCTATCTTAGCGCGCGCAGCCTCCCCAGATCCTTCCCTGTCAGCATGGGGTTCATCTACCCCATCACAGTGCTCAATTCTTTCTTTTGTGGTTAAGCTAAGTTAGCACCAGAGCTGTGCGTTTAACTTTATTGTTCTTTTAAGATTTCGGTCTTGTGAGACGGGTGTGGTCAATTCAGAATCATAAGGGAATGGGGCAAGTCAAGCAGAAGGCCACAAGCAAAGTGTGCCATACAAGGGAAAAAATGTGAGTGTTTTCTGGCACCACCATCTTTATTTAAAAATGATGTAACTGCTTTGATTTTGGATGGCTGAAAGGAAAAGACAAAAAAATAGTTGTGACATACCGTAAAGGAAGAAAACATTTTACACTTACTGTTTTGATGTCTTCATTAATATACGTGTCATTCATTATAAACTCAGGGTAACCCACTTTTGCCAAAACCGCTTTTGCCTTTGAAAGAAAAAAAACTGGATTGTTTAAGCATTTAAAAGTGCATTTCTTCCCTCATTGAAAGGACCGCACAGTACTATACCTCCCAAATGGCACCCAGGTTTCACCTCAAACAGCTTGCTTACGTGCAACAAATCAGTTTCAGTTTTTAACACTGAGGGGATAACATTGAGCTGCCAGTTTACACAGTATCTCCACCGGCTCCTGTAGAGTTACTACAGAATTACAGGTATGCTTGAGCACATAATCTGGTCCTAAGAGTTGAACCTCACCAAGGATTGCAAGCAAAATTAATCTAATGGTCGCAACTTGTATCTTTTTAGTGTTTTAACAACCTGTGACCTGTATAACTACCATAGGGCAGCTGAAACAAGCCCAGTTATTCAGATGTATGCGGGACATGGATATGAATAGGTCAGAACCTCAGCTGGGATAAACACAGCATAGTTCCACTGACGTCAAATAGATCTCACCAGACAAGGATGTGGCTACGGTTTTCTGACGGAGAATGTGGTTTCTACAGTTCATGCTGTTGAACTGTGTTTTGCTCATCTACCTGAGCCATCTAATTAAAGGCTTTCCACTCCACTTCTGTTTTAACAGACTCCATTTCTTAAAATACTTGTTCCCAATAATAGCACAGAATCCTCTGTATTCCTATGCTCAATATAAAGGCAATAGGAACATTAAAATAATTCAATTTACATTTTTACATTAACTTGGATTTATTCTGTTTCACATTTGTGAGAATTTGCCGTAGTGTTTATATGCAGTACATCATACATATTATATATATACACACACACACAAAAAAAACATATTTATGTATGCACACTGTGACAAAGTTCCTGCTCTACCTTGGTGGGTCTTGAGCTTATTGGCGAATTTGCTCAGCTTGGAGCTTCTTAGCAGCCCTCAGCTTGGCCATTTTTTCTGAACGCACAGTCCAGGTCGATGACTCCTGTGTCTGACTAGGAGTTGGGAGGATTTGGGGGGGAACCCAGGCCCGCCCTCTACTCCAGGTTCCAGCCCAGGGCCCTGTGGAATGCAGCTGTCTAGAGTGCATACTGGAACAGCTGTGCAACAGCTACACCTCCCTGGGCTACTTCCCCATGGCCTCCTCCCAACACCTTCTTTTATCCTCACTACAGAACCTTGCTCCTGGTGTCTGATAATGCTTGTACTCCTCAGTCCTCCAACAGCCCGCGTTCTCACTCTCAGCTCCTAGTGCCTCTTGCTCCCAGCTCCTCACACACATACCACAAACTGAAGTGAGCTCCTTTTTAAAACCCAGGTGCCCTGATTAGCCTGCCTTAATTGATTCTAGCAGCTTCTTGATTGGCTGCAAGTGTTCTAATCAGCCTGTCTTAATTGTCTTCAGAAAGTTCCTGATTGTTCTGGAACCTTCCCTGTTACCTTACCCAGGGAAAAGGGACCTACTTAGCCTGGGGCTAATATATCTGCCTTCTATTACTCTCCTATAGCCATCTGGCCTGACCCTGTCAAAACACACACACACACGTGTGTATATATACACATACATACATACATGTATACCAGGGTAACTGTCATGCCTGCACTTACATTTCATAAAATCATGATACAAATTGGAAACAATTATGTAACCTAACTTTATAATACATTTGTGTATGGCACTAAACTTGTCCCACCCCAAGGACATCCATCCATAGTTACTATGGAAACAATTTATTTCCAAGAGCAAAAGAGGGGAGAGAGAGAGAGTCTAAAAGATGGGGGTGGGGGAAACCAAAAAAATAAGACACATGCATGATATAAGCTAAACATGTGACAGAGTGGGATGGTATAAAATGTATATTTCCATGTAGTTTAGGAAGACAGATATCAATTTACCTTTTAGGACTACGGGACTTTTCCTTAAAACTTTCCTCTAGTAATGTGATCCTTTCAACACAAAAATCTGAAACCATGTGAAGGCTGAAAGAGGAGAACCCTAATGAACAACATTGCCCTTTTAAAATAAACCGACTTCAGCATATAGGCTCCAATCCTGCATGCTGATCTGTGTGAGAGAACCCCTACCCCCATATGGAGCCCCTTGACTGTAGTGTTTGCCTAGATTGATTTATTTATTTTACCTTCCTCTGCAGCATGGGTCATGGGTCACTTGCAGGTTTAAACTAGTGTAAACGGTGGGTTCTCTGTAACTTTAAATCTTTAAATCATGATTTGAGGACTTCAGTAACTCAGCCAGAGGTTAGGAGTCTATTAGGGGGGTGGGGGGGTTCTGTGGCCTGCAATGTGCAGGAGGTCAGACTAGATTATCATGATGGTCTCTTATGGCCTTAAAATCTATGAGTCTATGAGCCTCTGAGAAGCAGCTTACAGGATCAGGGCCTTACATACCAAGGTGATAGGAAATTTAGAAATAATCTAGACAAAACTCATCTGATACCCTTGAGTCATTTCATATTAGTGGCCAGGGCATATAGTAATATTAAGAACAGGAGTACTTGTGGCACCCTAGAGACTAACAAATTTATTTGAGCATAAGCTTTGGTGGGCTACAGCCCGCTTCATTGGATGCATAGAATGGAACATATCATAAGAAGATAGATAGATAGATAGATGCATACATACATAGAACATGAAAAAGTGGAGTACGATGCTAATTACTCTTACTCCACTTTTTCATGTTCTCTGTATGTGTATATATATATTTTCTTAGTATATGTTCCATTCTATGCATCTGATGAAGTGGGCTGTAGCCCACCAAAGCTTATGCTCAAATAAATTTGTTAGTCTCTAAGGTGCCACAAGTACTCCTGTACTTTTTGCAGATACAGACTAACACGGCTGCTACTCTGAAACCTATTAATATTAACTAAAGAACCTATGGCATCTCATGAAAATCCTTAGGAAAACATACACATTAGAAACAATTCAGATTCATCTCTGTGATCACAATCGGTCCAGCCCAAAGACCCAGAGGGATATGCTTACTTGTCCCTTGTGGCAATAAGAATTATTGCAAGGCCACAAAATGACCAGAAGTAAATAATGTCTAGGCTGTTTCCCTTCCCACCCCAGCTACCACCAGGGCTTTCTACAAAGGCTGAGGAGACCACAGTCAGAACAGCCAGCTCTGCAATTTCTTGCCATCCCTTTGCACCAGCTATGCCAGTGTAATGGGGAGAAGCAATGCTACAACGTTTTCCCCCAAAATCCTTCTTTTACCTTCCCTCATTTTCAAGAAAACAGGATCTTTGCCTCTTGAGAGTTAATCTATTCCTAGGGCTTATTTCCCAGTTGAAGTTATTGTCCTCTACTAGTGACATCATAATTAATTGTTGCAGAGATAATTAAGATGTCACAATCAGAAGATTATGACTTCAGGTTAGAAATTAACAGCAGGAACAGATGAACTCTTCAGCAAGAAGGATCCCATTGTCATACAAATATCCCCAGTGATAGAAAAACAATAAAAGACAAATGCTCTACAGGAAATATGAAATGAGCCAAATTACCTCTAAAATAGAATGTTTTCTTAGTTTTTCATGAGGCACAGTAGGTACTGAAGATTTTTTTAAAAAAATGCTTGAGAAAACAGGAAAGAACTAGAATTCAGCTGTAGACAGCATCTATTTTTTGCCCTGCTTATGCTTTCTTGCCGAGTTGACTGAACTTTTGTGATGGTTTCAGTACATTACTTTAGGGTTTTCAATGCTATTTGTTACTATATCAGTCTCAAGAAAGCAAGTAGGAAAACTCATCAGTTTTAATTTCCACTAAGTTGGCTGCTTAAATGAGTTAGGTTAGTCTCAAATGTCTTGCATGTATTCCAAAGTAATCATTTTAATCACTTAATTAAGCAGTCTTTGTGTTGCATCTGCATAATTGAGCCCTTAACATTTTTGATTAAACCAACAAAAGAAACAAAATCATTTATAATAGCTGATGCACAATTGCCCTTTTTAAAACAATTCAAAGAATCAGTGTGGATTAACTGTACCAATATTGCGTTGACGTGGAGAGCTACAATCAGTACAAAATGTGGATCAAAAACATTGTTAAATATATTTAGGCAAATAACAAAAATCACTTTGAATTATATTATCCCTTAAAAACACTGGCATTTTCCAGACTGCCTTCCAGATCCTTAGCAGCTGTAAACCTCACAGAATTCTGACACCATCTTAGGCCCAGCAATCTCAGTGAGCAGGTCAATCAGGCATAGCTGTCACGCTGAGAGGAGCAAAGGTGGACTCTGGCTTCAACCCAGAGGTGTTAATGGTCTGATCTGAACGAGAGCATACTGCTCTTCTCCCTGTCCCACTCAGAGATTTTGATTTCACCTTGAAGATTCCATCTGCATAGACATTAAAATCTTTCAGAACCATAAAACTTTTCTGACCTAGAACTCTGTCCGTTCAGCCAAGGAAGCTGAGGTACAGGATGACAACCTGTACAACCCTGTTATTCTCATTTTAAACCTATGCCATTACTCACACACAAGGTGGACTCTCAAACGCATCCATTTCTGGAGCGAGAAACATCCTACATTTAAGGGTAGATAGAACCAGTTCAGCCACGCCACCTCCCCATGGCTGAGGCTGAACAAAATGCCCTTCATGATACATCTTGACTATGGGTTTCAGAGTAGTAGCCATGTTAGTCTGTATGAGCAAAAACAATGAGGAGTCCTTGTGGCACCTTAGAGACTAACAAAAGGACTCCTCATTGTTTTATCTTGGCTACGGAGTCCTTTGCTCCAACGTCCTTTCCCAAAGAAACCACAAGCAGCTTGTGGCCCAATGGCCACTTTCAACTCATTCACTTCCATGCCAAACCATTTGGGATCTGAGGCTGCTAGCTTAATTTATATGCTGGTCAAGTGTGGCTGGAAAAAACACCAACTAGTGCTGATTGGCAGCCTGGCACTTTGTGGGAGAAAAAAGGACAGTTTAGAGTTATCACTTTTTCCCTTTAAGCCTGACCCACTCCATCCCAAAGACGCCTTA